ACTACTACTACTACTACTACTACTACTACTACTACTGCTACCACTACTACTACTACTGCTACTACTACTACTACTACTACTCATACTCCTACTCCTACTCCTACTCCTACTGCTACTGCTACTGCTACTACGGCTACTGCTACTGCTACTGCTACTGCTACTGCTACTGCTACTGCTACTGCTACTGCTACTGCTAAGCTACAACAACAACAACAACAACAACAACAACAACAACAACAACAACAACTAGTACTACTACTACTACTACTACTACTACTACCACTGTATTTTTATCCAGCTCACGGGCTGGAGGCTCGTGTCTGCACTGGGACGCGTCTTACCCCATTACTGTTTGTTACGGCTTTACCATCGCAGCCCTGGAAAGAGCAGGTGTTTCCGGTTTAGGGTTGAGTGCCCTGTAAGTATTGCTGTCATGGGTTGACCGCCATGCAATCCTGCGCCATATCAGTGGCAACCTCCGTCAAGATTTCGAGAGGCTTCACGAAGCATCTGCAACCAGGAACTCTGACCAAAGCCCAGTCGCCAGCAGAGTATGCTCCTAGCTTTGGAATCGCAAGTGTAGTCATCAAGCGAGGGCAACAAAGAGCCCTAAACTTGAACCTTGCGGGATGGGGTGATGGGTTGCTAAGAAATTGGACAAGTAGGCATCGATCTCCGCAAGCAGATCCAAGCAAGGTGCCAGGAGCGGAGGGCATGCCTCCTCTCAGTTGTCCGGCTGCGCTCGCTGCGCTTTGCCACGGGGCCCTGGCTTTTCGGATGCAGCAAGAACGGCTGCGAAAGTTGTGAGGCATTCTCAAAGCCAGAAGACCGAAGAGTCTTTACTTATAGGAAACTCAGCATGTAGTATGGAGGAAAGAAATCTTTGGCTCCTCAGGTCGTGTAAGTATAGCTCGATCTGCGGCTGTAGACTGTATCAGGTTGGGTGGGGACTGTGTTTGACAATCAGCCGACAAAACCTCCAAAACTGAAACTAAAAACACACCCCAAAGCTGTACACAAGCCCCCAACCTTAAACCGAAAGCCCTGGGCCTCAATTCGAGGGCATGCCGTCACGGAGAATGCTATCGGTTGCGGTGATTGTACGATGGGTCTCGTGGTGGAGGTTTTTGGTACAGTCAGCAAGTTTCTGCCTGGCACCAATGCTGGCACCAATGGGAGTACATGTTATCCATGATAAGACAACGATGCAAATGACAATGGCAGCAGCACTGCAGGCAAACGATCGTGATGTGCAGGGAAATCACCCGTACCGTCCATGGCACAGAAGATGAGGGTGATAGGGGCGGGGTGATGGAGGCAATAGCGGTCATGATGATGACAAGACTGCCTTGCTTAGTGCAGCCAGCATCAGCAATGGACGGAGTCATGCAAGAGACTTTTTTGTAGTCGTGTCAGCATCCACATGGCGATAATGCGAGAACACTACGGGCAGCAATGATGTTCCTGATTGTATCCACAAAAACCGCAAGAGTAACAGTAGCATTGGCTTCGGCACGGATAGCGACACAAGAAGAAGGACTGGGTAGTAGTAGGTGGTGGTAGTAGTAGCCGTAGTAGTAGGAGTAGTGGTAGCAGTAACTTTTATCAGTAGTACTGGTACCTGGCTAGTTACTAGTACATGTGTATCTGTATGAGTACTAGTACTAGACCATCAGCGGTATTGCTAGTTAGTACGACTCGTAGTGGTACTAGTACGAGTACCAGCACTAGTTAGTAGCCTAGTAGCCCTAGTAGATTTCCTAGCAGTAAAGAAGAAGTAGCAGTAGTAGCAGCAACAGCAGTAGCAGGAGTAGAAGTTGTAGGTGGTGGTCGCGGTGGTGGGCGTCGGCGGTGCTCGCCGTCGTCGTTGTGGCAGGGGTCACAAAGCCTGATAACGCTGCGCTTTCTGAGGCTCCTAGGGGTCGCGCCGCCTGCCGACCGCTGTTGGAAGAGCTTCTTTTCAGCTGTTCATTGGGGGGCGGGGCTGCGGGTTCTTATGAAGAATTTTTGTCTAGTGGTCCTTGACATCCTTTGTTGAACATTCAGGATCAAAGTCTGAACCTCAAAAAACCTTGTGGAAGTGCAGACCCTCGCGTCATGGTCTGAGGAGGGGTACAGGACCTTCTGTTGCGACAGCTTAAGACAGCCCCGGGCCCCCGGCTGTTCCCGCAAGAAAAAGCCAGACGTCGCCGTCAGAAACCCGTCAGCAACGCAAAGCAAAGCAAAGGCACCTGGAAGCATTTTGCTACAGAGCCCAAGTCAATTAGGGTTTGGGGTTTCGGGTGCTGCGTTGAATGCCTAGACCCTACACCCTTTGAGCGTACGGTGCAGGGAATAGGGCTCTTGAGAACAACCAGCTGTATACAACCCCAAAGAGCGGTTCACTTGGGTCGAGACTGTCAACAGGTAACTATGCTGGAGCCGGCAATGCGGGGTTATGTCTCGGGTTCGGGCTGTAGGAAAGCCCAATAGAAACCCAGGTGCTTCAGCTATGGGTTCCGAAGTAAGTGGCCCATACCATTGACCCCTTGTCGAGCTTGTCCGGAATATTCACGAGGAAACCTGAAACCCAAATTGCAAGCTTGCAAGAGGAACTTACGCTGCCCCCATTCCCTACAAATCCGCGCATGCCACCAATGCTAGGCTCCGCGTGGCCTTGCAAGCTCGCCTGGAAGTGGCTGGGATGTGCACCTCAAAAGGGCGAGAAGTGTTTGGAATTGAGGGCTTGGCTTGAGAGCTGTTCGTGAGTTTTGTTATGTTTTGTTCATACTAATATCAGAAGCTTGAATTGCATGCCGAGGCAAGGGCTCGGAGCGCTTGCTTGTGGGTGGGTTGCAGTGCTTCAGGATTTCCCAAGTCCGGATCCCCTACACCATTACTTACTCCCTGGACCTTAAACCTGTTTGTCGATGCAGGCATGTTCTTGTCGCGGAGCTCCAAGTCCGAAACCCCTCCCTGAGCCTTGAATCCGCAGAGACCTCAAGCCAACGCAATCCTGTTCCTCAGCAGTCCTTGCCCTTGCCGAAGCCTTGAGTCAATCTTCCAAGCCCCATGCCCAAAACCGTGTTTGGGGTGCAGAGAGGCCGGCCAGCTCAGCCATGCGGATGCCTTGCAGCTCTTGGGGGCTGCCGGGGAGCCGGGGGACCCAAGAAGAGGACGTATTTTCCGAACTAGGCCACTGCGATTCAGGGGGCCGTTACGGAGGGCGTGACAGGTGGCTCGGGTTTTTGGCTGAAGGTTTAAAGCGTGTTTTGGGCCTCAGTGCGAAACTATTCTCGTGTCTGCATTTTGAGGTTTCTAGGGTTCTTTCTTTTTCGGACGTAGTCGGAGGTAGTCCGATGGATTGAGGGTCGAGGCTTGATGGTTTTGGATTTCAGGTGGGTTGTTTGAGGTTCACCATTTCAAGGTCTAGGGCGTAAGATCTTCGTGCCTCTGGATCCTCTTCAGACTTGTCCAAGTAGCGCATGGTACAGTTTTTGGATGTCCGGAAGTGGTTGAGGTGTGGGGCTGCTGGGGTTTACAGTCTCAAGTCTCCATAGACTGGTCAACTGTCGACGGTGCTGTTGGTTCTGGTGCGGGTTAGGGCATATGTACTGTTGTAAACGACTCACGTGTGAGCCCTTCCACCTGTCGCGAGCCTTCGAGAGCATGTAGAATTGGCAGCAGCCGAACTTACAGCCCCGGGCCAACCAGGGATGAGGAGTTCCGAGCATTCAGACGACTGTCGCTCTGGTCTAAGTCATTGCACCATGCAAAGGCAAACACGGCAGAAGCTCGGCAGCCTTGTAGCTATGGCCCTCTCATGTATCCACTGTCACAGATGAATCCCTGCCTTGAGTCATTCTTATGCTCTTGCTCCGCTGGACCTCAATCCTGAATTCCTAATGCCAAGAACCCCAAACCTGTAAATCCAAGACCCTCACCGCAAACCCCCTCACTCAAATCCTAAACGGCCCCTTGTCGGATCGGAGAAGCGACACGAAGGTCTCCGCAAGTCGAGCAAGTGACAAACCTTGCAGCAAAATCAGCCAGCTTTGCGCAAGGCTGCATCGTGCCATAGGAGTCAGCATCCCGACACTTGGCAGCATTCGCCGGGAGATTTTCGGGTTTAGGGCTAAGAGCGCGTTTGCCCCCACAACTTCTCAACCGCCAGATCTCTTGCCCAGCATCAGGATCCCAACACCTGGTCCCAAAGCCTCAGTCTGCACGCTGGAAGGAAGGAACACGGGATCCGGCATCAAAGGCTGGAAGCCACAAGTGCCTAGTGTCCATCCCCCCATCCTCACGCATCCTTCTAGAGTTCAGCAGCTCAGCATTCTATTTTCTTCTTCGTCAAGGAACATGAGCCGGTTGCTTGCTGGAGTCGCCCAAACCAAGAAATCCCGAGTGTGGCTCCCGATGGCTCAAAGTCAGGATTCGTTTTTTGTATGGCAGGCCCCCACGTGACTAAGGAATTTATTGCCAATTGCAGCTCATGGCTGCAACTTCGGTCTCCGTCTAAATGGCATCTCATTCACAGCATAATCGACATAATCAAACAAAGCTGCAGGTCTGTCGAACATTGTATAATGCAACAGGATACTCTGAGTAGGTTTTGTAGGGTGTCGATTTCACGGTGAGGCTGGCGCTTGTGGAACCCGTGTAACCATGCAGAAAGATTAGATTTTGCCTCATTGTGGCACCTTACGCGGGCGAGAAACTGAAACGGTGCCTGTTAGATTGAGCATTCGATGCAAGGACTCTCCAGGAGCTATCGAAGATCGGTCGGGAATCCAAGAGAATCGAGCGTCTGGGTTTTTAGAGTTTTAGGTTGTCGGGCTTAGGTTTTAGGATTTTGGGCTTGACCGATCAACCTTGTATTGTCGTGCTTTCCTAACCGTCCTAACCACAAACATCAACTTTGCGATCACTGGTGATAGCATGTTCAGCTGTTCCTTGATCCTTAAACGCTGAAAACGCTGCCCACAGGAGGCAAGTTCGTTTCCCGCATCCTACAGAGATGCAGGATTGTGGTTGTTCAGGTCCGCGGCATTCACCGCAGGGCGCACAAGGGTTGGCTTGATTGCTGCTGAGGGTATGGACTGACTGCTTATGCACTTTTGTTTAGGCCTGGCTCTTGAATGCTGTGTTCCGTTTGTTCGACATGGCAAAAGACAAAAAAGTTCAGGCCTCTAAGCATAAAACGGAGGTTTGTGGAAGAGCCTTAAAACTTTAAGCCTTTATAAATCCCCAGACACCCCACACTCAAGCCCTGCATGCAGCATGCCTCCGTCAAAATAGCCTTAGCATGCCTTAGCCTTAGCAGAACATAACCCTGAGCCTTATTTGCTGTTTCGTTCAGTTTACTAGATTTACTGGGTCTCAACGGGCTTCCCCATTCCTAGTAGGTTTGACAGGGCTGGATCGATTGTTGTGGGGTTGAGGGTCTAGGGTATGGGGTGGGCAGTTAAAGTCTTGACAACTAAAGCTGCAGGAAAAAGGTGCTGAAGGAAGCAATTGCGGCCCGAACTCCCAGAACGTCCTGTTCAGGTGTACCGCAACTTGAAACCTGTGGGAAGAGAAACCTGTCCAGATATGTATACGTCCGTGAACTGGCTCTGATTGAAGTACTTGCATCAAGGAAAGGCTCACAGGGTCTCAAACCCGCAACTCGTATACCATAGCCATAGACCCAGAGCCCCACTGTTGAGCGCAGAATGAACTTCGGGCTAAGCTCGTGAAGAAACCAGCAAGTGAAGGCCGCGAGGCGCTGCAAGCCGATGAGGCCTTCGCTTGGGCAGGGGACAGGGTAATCTAGTTTTATACCGATTTAATTTTGTTCCATGTGTTTTGTGTGGGGGTCGTGAGGATGCTTCAAAAGGTGTTAGACATGAAGTTGTTTCAAATTGGGAGCGAGGGAGGTCTCCCAATTGTGCAAACGGCAGGGACCGAACGCTCTGCTTTTGCCGCTTTCCTTTTCTATCTGTATGAGTCCACTCTTACCGTAAACAAGCTACAGCTCTGCAGAAATCCTTCACAAACTTTTCTCCGCAGCGACAACCCGAAGAACCCATTTAGAGCCGTGCTGTCCTTCTCCACTTGCCTAAGAATGAATACTGCACTTTCCTCAGGTATATATAATATGAATATGCATATGTAAGTGAAGTTACCGACCTATCTCTTTCTTTCTTGCTGAGGTCCCGATTATTTTTTTTTCCCCGCCGGGACGTTTGAGATACGATTTAAGCTGGCTGTTGGGTATAGGGCCTCTTGATGTTGACATTGCAAGCATGGCAGGGGATGTGAGGCAGAGCTGCATGTCCTGAAGGCCATGCCCGCCGCGCCACAATCAAGCTGTAGTTCACAGCGCTTGGGCAAACAGATATGTTCAGCATGCAAGCAGGTACGGACGGTGGTCGTGGTCACTCTAGCTCACTACACTCAAACAACATCCTGTGACAGCATAATTCTTGGCGCGCTTTTTCCGGACCAGACGCGTCCAGACTTCGTAAACCTTTTCTCTTCGCCCCTGGAACAACGAGGCGGGCCGTTTGCCATGCCATGTCGACCTTCGAACCCGTAGTTATGAGTTATGATGTTCCTTGTGCACACCCGGTGAGTATCGAAAAGATATATGGTTATCCAAAGCCTGGTAGTAGGAGCAATTGCGAGACTGTCCGAATCCAGATCCTGCCAGTCTTCGGGTGCCTTGGAGGGTCGTCATGTTCACAAGCACAAACTGAGAAGAACCCACTCGACCTTGGCTCTGGCCACCGAAATGCCACTGACCAATAAAAGAAGTGGAATACCAAAGTTTCCAATATGAACTTGGAATAAACAGTAGATTGTACTAGCGATTGAAGAAGAGGCTGATCTTTATACATATATACATATGTATACACATATATATATATATGCTTTTCGGGGCTTCTGCCACGTGTTGCCTTGATTTTTAGACAGGTTGTCGTTACCAAAAAGCTGGTGTGTGGCCATGGGCGGCCACGAGAGGAATGTTAAGATGTCCAGGTGACCCCGCTGACCCCCGATCAAAGCCACCCGAGGCCGTAGCCGCATCTGCCGAGAAACTGACAAACATTTGTCGCCCCCAAGCCCTTGTCGAACCTGCGTAAACCCTGCTCCCTAAGCACTTCAGCTTTGCACTCTATACGGTCAAACCTTAAACTTAAGTCCTGAACACGTAAACCCCCAGACCCTGCACCCTGAATCCGTGAGGCCTCGCACCCAAAATCCTAAACCCCTGAAGCCTTAAAACTGAAAGATTAGAGAAGCCACGAATTTTGCCACGAGGCGTTGGCCGACATGACGGAGTCGACGCGCGGCGCGACAGCTGATCCAAGGCCTCAGGCTTTACAACTTTACGAGAGAATGTGCGGGGGAATCATTCGTGGTGGTGGTGGTGGTAGTACTAGTCGTCGTGTAGTGGCTGTAGTAGCAGCGGTAGCAATTTAGTAGTAGTCGTCGTCGTAGTAGCAGTAGCAGTAGTAGTCGTGGTCGTAGTAGTCGTAGTCGTAGTCGTAGTTGCAGCAGCAGTCGTCGGCGTCGTCGTAGTAGTAGTAGTAGTAGTAGCAGTAGCAGTAGAAGCAGCAGCAGCAGCAGTAGTAGTGGTAGTAGTAATAGTAGTAGTACTAGGACTACTAGCACTACTAGTACCAGAACTAGTACTAGTACTAGTACTGGTACCAGTAGTACTAGTACTTAGTAGTGCTAGTGCTAGTACTTGCTTTAGTACTGGTAGTAGTAGGGGTGGTAGAAGCAGTAGTATTAGTCATAGTAGTAGTCGCAGTAGTCGTAGTAGTAGTCGTAGT